TGTTGGATTCTTGTTGGATTATTTATTTATTTGAAATTAATATAATAATTTAAAAAAAGACAGAATTTAAAAAAAAATGAAGATGCCGTGGATGAAACATAACCCATAAAGATAACTTATTACCCGTTTCAGAAAGAGACAATCTACATTCTTTGACAACGTCGCGAGAAATGAAAAATAGATAACCTGATGACAACGTGAATTTTTGGAAAAGGAAAAGATGCAGAGGGAGGCCAAGAGAGAAGATGCTGTCAGTTTAGCATCATGTCTCGGGTGGGGGGGGGGGGGGCATATGTTTCAGAAATGACTGAAAGTACATAGGTCGTGGACAGACATGTCCACATGCACCGGAACTACAAAAGGGCTTTAAATGAAAACCTTACAGTTGTGATAAAGATTACAGCCACCTTGCCAATTGTCTTGTAACCTACCAATATTGTTGTTACAGATGTTAAGAGTGTTAAGCACATGACATCACTGTGCAGACGAACACGATGACGTTATAAAGAAAGTTTAAGAATGGCCGTCCCACTTCTGACATGCAACGGCTCAGACACTCCGAGTATTGACCACCGAGTCAATAGCAGACGTTTTGAAACTCCTTACTCCACTTATACACTTGCTGGACTGACAGGATTGCATCATCATCATCATACTGGACTTTAATTCGTAGATGAATTTCTATAGGTTTCACCTCTATGTACAGATCAGTGGGCACAGTAGATGGACGATATCCAACGAACTGCGTGAAAGATCGGGCTACTGTGCGAAGAGACAGAACACACATTGAAGGGTACATCCCCGTGTAAATTTGGGGCCGTGTTAGCGCAGTCGATAAGAAGCTCGCTTTCAAATCCAGCTGCGATTCGCTGCAGCCACAGTCGGTGTTCGAAACCGGGCGGTTCCCGGGGTTCACCCAGCCTCTAGGAAATGGGTACCAGAGTTAACACGCTGAGGTAAATGGAGGAGCGTTGATTTGCGGATGGCGGCAAAGGCGGACAGTTTCTTATTAGCTGTCCGTACTGGTGGCAGAGCACTTATGGTTTATAACCGTGTGCAATGACGCTGGTTCACATCTCCCGACTTTACCTTTATCCCTGTGTAAATTCTGACGCATTCGATCATGATGTAGTCATCCCAAAGGGCACCAATGACATTCGTTCATTCACTATCATGTTTGCCACTAAACTAAATGTTGGCAAGGACCGACAGACGTGGAAAGCTATGACCTCTGCCCTATGCGCCATCTTTGGCACAAGAGGAATAACTAACTAACTAACTAACTAAACGTCACATAGATCTCCATTCAGTTGTATACTGTGCAATCAGTTGAATATCATGAATGGATCCAGTGCAGCAGCTTTGGCCTCTCTTATCAACGTTCGTCTTAGGGTTTCTGTTGGGCGTCCTCGCCATCTATTTCCCATTCTAATGCCTGTTTGGTGATTCACTGCTAGTTTCTTCTTAAAATGTGTATGATATGGCACCATCTTCTGTCGTATAACTACGGGGGCGGCGTGATCTCTAAGCATGGTGTCCGCCTCAAGTGCTAGAGGTTCTGAGTTCAATCCCCTGTAAGAGCTTGAATTTTTTCACCTAGACTTGGACTTCTAGTAATTCCCAACGGTCTCTGGATAGACAGATCAGACGCCCAGGTGCATTGTTGCGCACGTAAAAAAAAAGTTGAAAATCGCTGCCCGGGCAAAATTTCGAGCTACAAATCTACCCAAATATTTCAGGATCCTCGCTGGTGCTACAGAACTTCTTTGGACTCAGATTTTAGTTAGAAGAAGAACGGAGCACTTATGGGTTACTATCCGTGTGTCATGATGTTCATACCTTCAAAAACCTGTCGTATAACTATTGATACTTGTGATTGCCCAGACAGTTCTTCTCTAATTTTTTTTTTTTTTTTTTTAATTCCTTCCAGACATTGGTTTTTGAATGCATTTAACTTTCATTTCATTTCCGCTGGGCATTTGTTGGGAGACACCAGTTTTGAAGTCACATGCTAAGTTCAGTTACCATTTTCATTTTATTCCTGCGAATGGTTTTCGTAGGGGCCAAGCACACTAGTTTGTTTGAATCTTGTCATCCCTTTGTTGGATGCAGTTTTTCGTTATTTGAGGACCTACTCTGGCTCTTGCCAGGGTCCGCAAATAAATATGGTCTAATGGCTGAACGCGGTTTCTGGGACCTCTCCACGGGTAATCCTCATCCACATGGTAGCACTTTGTGTCATAGGGTGTTTATCGCTTGTGTGATGTCCTGGTGGGGTAAAAGTTCCTTATTTACACTGGTTTGCCCAGGGGCCCGTATGCTGTTAAGACGGTTCGGGAAAGGGGGGGGGGAGGCGGGGTATTTTAATTCTGGGGTGGGAGTGAAGGGCACCAAAATATGTTAAATGCTTAGGTCATCAAAGGTTCTTAATCCAGTCCTGCCAGGATTTTTCTTAATCTTGAAGGAAGGGTATTCAATCAAGTGACTTAAAACGTTTTAAACAAGGGCTTTTGTTCTATTTAAAAAAAAAAGGCGTCCTCATTAATGTAATTTTCAGAATACATTTTGTTCAAATGTATAATATACTATGAACAAATATAGCTGTGGTTTCTTTTTATCCTCTGTAGGTTTCTGAATGGTTTGACTTGAATAGTCTTTTTTTCTTTGAACAGACTTATACTGCAAGGCAACAGAGGGGAGAGGTTGTATTATATAATCTAACCTGCTCATTGCCATGTCTATAATTTGTAAAGAATTTTATAGCTAGCTGTCCTACCAATCAACCCGCATCCTATGCTGGTTAATGGCCACTTATTCTCTATACTCATGGCTAACCTTAAAGTAACTCCACCATCCAATTAGTAGTGGATGTATCTGTAATAGGAGAGGTTGCTACCCTCATAAATTCTATATAGGCCCAATAGAAGACTCCAAACTTCAGTGACATATGTGACTGTTAATGAATGTGACATTCCATAGCTTTTATTTGAACGATTGTCCAAGTAGCAGTAATTTAAACTTTATAATGCCGGGTTCGATCCCAGCTGCTGAAGATGTGCCTTGCGTTGGATTCGACAGTGGTACAGAGTTGACCTTTCAGTGAGCAATGGCAAACTACTGAATGTAAAACTTGCCTAGAAAAACCACAACAGCCAAAACATGCTGGGGTTGGTTCTGCAACGTGATGTAAATGATATGCAACTGAGTAATTTAAAGGACCAGGTCTCATACTGGCAAGATTGACTCATACCTCTCCAGAGTCATAATAAAAACAGTTTTTAAGTTTGGGACCTGGTCAACATAGATAAGATTACCATTTGCCTTCAAAGTCAGACTGCATCTGCCTGAGTGTTGAGGACTAAAAGTCTGCATGCAAACAAGTCAAATTTGTAAAACAGATGTGCACGAATCACTCAAGCCCTGGAACAAATTGATGAATAATCAGGACTTTATATTGAAATCTTTACATTTTTGAACTTAATAGGATGTGCTGTGGTCCTTTGGAGAAGGGATCTCTACATTAAAGAAAGTAACAACCAATTCAGAAGATCCAACTTCTGTTCAGCCAGAAGTAACAACGCCACAGTCTCCAACAAGAAAGTTAAGGACATGTTACACTCCTATAAAGATTTCACAAGGCAAATTTTCAGAGTATGCCAGTAACATATATTTATTTGACAGCAACGTCGGCAAGTCCCACAAGCCTAATAACTCTGGAGCCTATAGTCTCTGCTGGTCCTGTACATTTCAGAATTTTTGAACAGCATTTTCCAAACCATTCCAAAACTTAAATCCATGCTATAATCTTTCAAAGATGCAAAAATCCAGATACTGGGGAACTGGCAGGTCTCATGAACATCTCAGTGTTATTCACAAGGAGACACTAATACCAGTCTCTTTTCATTCAATAGTTCTGACCACAAGAAGATGATCTCTCTGTCCTCAAAATAAAATCTTGCTGTGGTGATCAAACCACGTTTCTCTTTGGAAAATAACCCTACTCATAATTTAGGTGTTCTGAGCTCAGCAGGTATCAATGTTTAACATACCTTCATCTAAACAAAACTATTAGTTTACTTCGGTTTTATTTTATTTAATCGTTTGTTTCGTATGTATAATTTCTTATTACTGTTATTCTCAACATATTTCTATGACCACCATGATCATCACTCCCATTTTATTTACTATTCTTGCCTCTTCCTTTGTTTGATTCGTTCCGCATTATCTTTTCCACTTCCTATGCCTTATAGTTATTCACGTGACTCTCCTGTGTGAGGACTGGTGACCAGGATATTCTCTCCCCCCCCCCCCTTTTTCACTCCTAATGTTGGTGTTTTGTTGTTGTTGTTAAAGGCTCCTAGTGAAATGTCAAGACTTATCTTGTGTGTACGTGTATGTGTGTGGTTCCCCTTCCACCCTTTGTTAATCTTCTTAGTATCAACTGCTAGTATTAGTGGATTATTTCTACATATTGGAAGCTTACACACACAAAAATTACTCTTTGGCAATAAGTTCAAATTTATTAACATTTTATTTAGCTACATTTTAATATAATAATTTACCCTTTAGACGTAACAGTTGACTCGCAGTAGAGAAAAGTTTTTAAAAAAAAACAGGAACCATGCTTGGTACAAACAAGAGCAACACAGAGAAATCACATCTCACTTGAGTACAGAAAAACATGGACAAAAGGAACAAATAAATTCAAACAGAGGGTTCTGAGGCAGAAATAATTTTATTTTTACATCTAACATCCTATCCAAAAAAACAAACTATAAAATCCATTTGACATAGTTTAAAAAAATAATCCTTGTGATGTAACATTATTTATCAGCAATATCTAATGATTCTATGGCTTTATCACGATGAAAAATGAACAAACATAAAGATGATGTGATGCACTTTAAGCAAATTGAGAGAAGCCTAGTTATTACTATTGCTTGAAAAGACAATAATCCTTTTAAAAAAATGACTAAAATAATGACAGCAGCAATATTTGTTCATGATTTTGGTTTGGTCTCTTGGTCTGTCACATTTCTGATGAAAACTGTGTCCGGTGCTGGAGTTTTGTCTACTTCTGTTTCATACATAAAAGAGGATGCAATGGCCAGGACACTTCCATCTGGACTGAAGGCTAAAGATGCTATACTTGTGGGATATCTGAAAGCAACCAGAAATATAGTTAACAAAATAAAATACAAACAGGCAATAATAATAATGGCTTTGCAAATATTTAAATACTAAGATAGCAGTAACATAAGAAACTCTTGTCTAAAGTTTAAAAAAAAAGAGAAAAGGTCACGGAAGGAACAAATTTGAAATGGCAAATTATGAATTATGAAAGTATCAAAATGAGACCAAATTAGTTAGGATGAAAAAAAAAAAAAAAGCTGGTAAAGCAACAGTTTAAAAAAAACACAATAAACAGGATGGTTTGGTCACATTAAAAAAAATCATTATAAGAGTCTGCACTACAATGATATTTACACTTATAGCACCTGGCAGGATGAAAACTAAAGGAAACACTGTAAAAGAAGCAGGGATTGATGAAGTTACACCATAGACAAAAAACACACCATAATTCTCAACTTCATAATGTGAAGCTGAACTACAAACACAAAGGAAGAAGAAGATTTTAGTCTGGAACTCAATGAGAATAGGAAGATTCTGCTCAGAATCCATTTAGAGTTTGCTGAAATCAGATATGTTAAGCTGAAAGGTCTAGATATTACAGACTAGCTGTAAATCATAAAATAACATGTCAAATGCAGAAGAGAAAATAGCGGAAAGAAGGGACATAAAAAACAGAATTCAAAGACATATAAAGGCTAAGGAAATCAAATGAAATTCACTGCAAAGGCTAACCCAGTCAATAAATGCCTGCTGAAGTTGGACGAGTCAGCTGAAAGGTCAAGTATCGCAGTAATGCAGTAAATGGGCACAACACAATTGAAGAAGATAAATGTAATTTAATTTAACCAGCTGCAGATGTAAATTCAAAACCAAACTATTTTTCAAACTGTAAGTGAACTACACTAAGCTGGAAGAATTCAAGGAAGGTAAATAAATAAAAGAAATGTCTGGACAACTGCTAGTATCAACAGTTATAAGACAAAGATGGCAATATATAGGGCACATCATGAGGAAACACCAACAGACAATCACCAAAAAGGCATTTAAATGGAAACAAATGGACTGAGGAGATCTAAACTAAGATGAATGTTGATGAGAGAGGCAAAAGGTGCTGGGTGGGATTCCATCTATGATACTGAAGCAATAGCACAGGCTACAACAGTGGCTTTCAACCTTCTAAAGCTGCAACCCTTTAATAGTTCCCTCATGTTGTGGCAACCCCCGAACAATTATTCTCCTTCATAACTTCAATGAATATGTGTTAGCTGATGGTCTTAGGCTAACCCTGTGAAAGGATCCTTTGATCCAAAAAGGGTCATAAATGGCAGGTCAAGACATATAACAAAACTAAACAGAAGAAGAACGTGAGCTTGATGTGACTTAAAAAAATTAAAAGATAAGGATGTATGAGTAAACTTCATTTCCTACCTATGAAACTGGCAGAGGCGTTTCTTATTGAAGCCATCCCAAATGTTGACATAGCCATCAGATCCCCCTGTTGCGAATGTGTTGTAACCATTATGGAAAGCTATGGCATTAACAGGATATATCAATTCCTGGTTGTTTTCCTTGATTCTGTGGCATTTGAAGGCATACTTTTTCTTCTGTACCTCTGGGTTTGGGTCCAAATACTCAACAGCTACACGACCTGCAGTCATATTAACAATATAAAAGTAATTTATGTGAAATGATCAGTCAAAATACCCCCTTCTTCCCTCCCCACAATCTGAAGAAAAAAAAATTACTATAAAATAAAACAATGATAAAGACAAAGTAAGTCCAAGGCAAATGGTGCAAGTATGTGAACTGTGAAGTATTCAAATTCGCATGTTCTCTTGTTTTTTCTTTCACTCCAAGTTATTTTTATTATTGTTTGCCCTTCCAAAGCAATTCTGAAAACAGTTCCTACTGAGCTGAGCTACGAATCAACATCAAAGTATCAGGGACACACTTCTACAAGTGCCTCATGCTTATCTTCAACAGCCAGCAAAGAGTTCTAACACTGACACTACCAGTAGCAGTTTGATTATAGGTCGGTTTGCCTTTCTTTTGAGCGTGGAATGTCGGCCAGAGTACCTGATCACATTCCGCTGCACCATTTACTCCACACTGTAATCATCTATTTGCACTTCAACCTTGTTTAGTTGCCGCCAAATGGTCATGATGCATCTATTTTTACTGGGCATTATTGTTCTTATTAGATGGGAAATTTAACCTGGACCACTGACTTTGTAATTAAATCACCTAATCACAAAAATACATAATTATTATTTCACCATACATTCTTCTTCTTAGCGTTCACTGGCTGTAAACTCTGGCAAAAAGTACTGGTTTTTTTCTTCCATTGCTGGACTTTGCTCTTCATACCAGCATACTTCAAAGCTAATAAATCTGTGGTCATAATGAAAAATATGAACTTACCTTCAATGGAACTGAGGACATATCCCTGTTTATTTGGAAAGCTGCGAATACAGCGAGTCTGGTATTTGAGATTAGATTCCCTGCGTTGTTGAACATATCCCATGTTTCTCAAGTCCCAGACTAGAACTCGTCTTCCAGCAGTTCCAACAATCAGAGCATCTCCACAGACAGACATTGTGTATACCTTTAAAAGAAACAAATATACTGTTTGCTAGAGCTTTGCTCTTTAAAAAAAAAAGGCGACAGTACTCCCTATAAAAATTGCATACTACTGTAGTATCGAAACAATATCTTTAAAACAGTTGCCAGTGCTACAACTGCCTGGGGGGGGGGGGGGGGGGGGGGGGGGGGGGGGGGGTGGGGGGGGGGGGGGGGGGGGGGGGGGGGGGGGGGGGGGTTTGCCTAAACAGTGTGACTGTTTGCCTAAACAGATGTGTTAATTACCTCTGTATCTGTGGTCATTGTTGCAGTTATTAGCTGATTTGTCTATTTACTCTCTGCCATCAGTCCCCCTCTCTCTGATTTGTATATTTACTCTGCTATCAGTACCCATAACAGATCTGCATATTTGCTCTGTTATCAGTACCTATGACAGATTTGTACATTTACTCTGCTATCAGAACCTCTGTCTGATTTGTATAATTCTCATCTGTTATTTATGCTTCTCTGTCTGATTTGTATACTTATACTCTGGTAACATACCCTAATACTTCATGTCTGATTTGCATATATTCTTATCTGCTAACATTACCTCTGTCTGATTTATATATTTCTTATCTGCTAACGTCACCTCTGTCTGATTTGTGCTGTTGGTAAATACATCATGCCTTCTGTCTGTTTAAGTTCTGCTGAGTGATGTAAGATAATGATTTTTGCCACAATAAAAGAGGAGCGGCTGGCTGAGCGGTTAGAAAGCTGGGCTCTCAAGTGGGAAATCCAGGTTCGAATCCTCAGTAAGGCTGGTGATTTTTTTCTGTCGGGGGCAAAATAAAATCCTCTCCAGCACAGTGGAGGCGACAGAACTAGCCATGCGGCCGTAAATTTTCAGACTCAAAGACCCCCTCCCGCAAAAGTGCTAAAATAAAGGCAGCAATTGGCCAAAAAACACAAAAGTTTTCTGTTTTTGTAAGGTTACAACAAACTCAGCATGGCTAAATAACACATGTACCATGTCCTATCTTACCTTGTCAGGCTGGGGAAATGTTCCTACTAAGCTGGGGCTTCTTGGATCCCACATTTTGACACTGGAGTCCCAGCTGCCAGTAACAATGATATTAGCTTCTGGTGAGTACTCCACACAACGAATGGGTGCATCATGTGTGCCAACAACTCGATCTGCACCCAAGGAAAACAAAACAACGTTTCAGATGGCATGCATATGAATGAATGATGAACAAAATAAACATAACATGTTGCTTATAAAGACAAATTAGTAACTTAGTTACTTAAGTACAAAGGTATCATTGGTCATTGTGCTATGGCATGTTGTAAGGATTTTAAATTTATGGCACACAGACAGATTATTCTGTTGTCAACATTCCAAACTTTTTTTTATCCACAACCAACAGTTATTCCTGCTTAATCTTTTCTTTTTAAAGAATGTACACAAAGACATATGCTTGTATGGATGTGTGTGTGCTTTTTCTAATGCATTGTATAAGTTGCTTGACATTTATTTAAGCCTGTTCTTGAAGCAATCATTTTATCTGCTGTGGCCTCCCTACTGCTTTATGTTCTTTATATGTCTTCGGCGTGGCCCTCTTTGGTAGCTGGTACCAGGGTATTTTCATCAGACAGTCAAATCCTTTCATCTGTTGCTAAAGAAGTCTATAACATGTTTCAGTCCTAATTTTGTACAAATCTAGACTCTACAATTTTCAGCTACCACTTAATATATTAATAAAAGAACTTGTAAAGGAAACATTTTTTAATATACATCCATAATCACTACCTGAGACAGACATCATAACCTCTCAGCCATGCTGCCCATTCATTTGCACAGTAAAACACAAATTAATGAAATTGTTAAAAAATAGTCAGGTAGAAGAGAAATCACAGTAAAAGAGGAATCTAACCAAAAAATATCATCTACACCACTGTTCTCCAACCTGGTGGTGGTGGGAAAGGAGGGGGGGGGGGGAGGGGAACGGATGCAAGAAGATTCCAAGGGGAGCATCAATCAATTATGTAAAGGAGTACATTTGTACTAGCAATGATACATTATACTTGAACATTAAATATTTTTTTTTAAACTATTAATGAAATAAAACAAGGACCTTTTTGTTTTCATGAGCAGTTTGCACACCTATTGTTAAAAAATCTAATTAATATGATAACATACAAATTTAATTATAGATTAGCGACACATTTTGATCAAAACATATCTTCATGCCGTCTGTTTCCACTGTTGTGGAATCTACTGTCCTCCTCATTTTAAAAACATTTTGTTTTGTTGGGGGGAGGGGGCCTTGCCCTATACTCAAGGGGGATGGGGGTTTTGCCATATACTCAAGGGGGTGTGGGGGTCTTGCAATATACCCAAGAAGGGGACAAAAAGAGGAGACCCTCTGCGCCCTAACAAGCATGTCCCCTGCCAGGGAGGCAAGGAACCAACAGTCTGCACAAACATAAGCTAGATTTGTAAAATGGATGTGCACATAACTAAGATTTGGGGGTTATGTACGACTGTACATTCAAAGCTTAGTCAGGTTATAATAAAGAGACCTGACAACATATAACAAGTTTCTCAGAACATCTAATCATGTCATACTAACAAAACACACACTCTCTCTCTACAGGGGTTCTGTGTTTGGTCCTTATATGATTTTGTTGTCCTTACTGGCTAATTCAAAAAAAAAAAGGTGCTTTAATAATATCCTACCCCAAACCTGGGAAATCCCCAAGTCACAGGACAGTCTAATATTTCAGGGGGTGGTGGATAGACTGCATGAAGTCATGGGACCTAGGTTTGTTGGGGTTAGGGCCAGTTCTAGATATTTTGGGGTCGTTAAAAGCATCAGAAAGCCGGGAAACCCAGTCTTATTATCCTTTAAAATGTTGGACTGTCCTGTGTCGTCATCTGGGGTAGGATATTAATGAAGCACCAAAAACAAAATGCCTCTGGCCTTCTTATCTAAAAACAAAACTAGCAGATGTGCATTTCTGACCCAGCTATTCTCATCATCCATCCCCTACTCCACTAGCAGCTCTCTATAGTTACAAGAAATAAACAATCCTGACCTGTGTTGGTATTGAAATCATACATCTTGAGAGTCTTGTCAAGGCCACCACTGAAGGAATGAACTGCATCCTGGAGTGAATAAGAGTTTGTGAGCATTAAAACATGTGTGTGTGTGTGAATGAACAGTAAAACCTTGTTAACACGAACTCTCTTAAGTACATAATTTTGGTCCCAGCAGGGATTTTTCAGTTATTAGTTCCCGGTTAGCAACATTCATTGGCGACCAGATCACCCACTGGCTCGCTGGTAGATGACGTTGTCTCCAGTTTGGACAGTATGTGGGTCTGTCTCCTTTGATCACATCAACTCTACATGAGTCCTTTTCATGGGGCTCTTGGTGGTGTGCAATGCCAAGCCATTTTATATGGCGCACATAACCTAGTCACAATTATATCTTAAAGCTCCCTCTTCGAGGATGGTGGTTGAACGTGGCAATTTTTTTTTCTCCAGCAGAGCACCTACCTACCTTAGCACCACATTTTTTAACAAGAACTCAATTACCGGCCCCTTCAAATTTGTGTTAACGAAGTTTCAATCTGTCTTGCTCTCTCTTAGTGTGTGTGTGTGTATGGTGTGTAACAAATACTGTCACTGGAGTATGAAGTGCTAGGCCTTTGTATATTTTAGGCTATGGAATGATTTTGAGCAAAGAAGGATTTTACATCCTACTACTTTTTTTCTCGGACGATTCTTCTGAAACTGAGATGACAATTGTCTAGCACTCGCACCTATTGTTGTGAGGCATGGTTAACCTATCTTTTTTTTTTAATCCTGGTATCCCTTTCTATTAGTAGGTCCTTATTTACTGCAACAGTGTGTGTGTGTTGTTTAAAATAGTTTATGTGGATTGTTTCTAATCATTACAAAGTGCATATACACACCGCAGCCACTAAATCATGAAAATTATTTTAAAATGGGCAAGACAAAACCTCTTTCCATGACACAATTTGACCCATTTAAATGGCATTCATCTATGTTTTGATAAAATTATGATACCACCTGGTCAGCAGACAACAAATAACCCACCATTTAATTTAGAAAGAGAAAGTTGTATGGTTACATATGTTGCATGGAGAAAAGAGTGAACATTATGTTTTAGACAAGAAAATATGTGCTTGAGACAGATGAATTGATAAGACAAGTTTCTAAGAATCAGTGTTTACCAAATTAAACAGCAACAGAGGAAACCACTGATACTTTTGCCAGCTGTTTTGCTAAAAAAAGTGAATTATTCACTAAGTTGTTTTAAAATGACTTTGTGTCTTCACACAGAACAAGAAGGAAACACTGGGTAATGAATAAGAACTTGGTAAGAGATTACAATAAGAGCTAAGAAAATCCTGGTTGTGTAGCAGGAATTTGTGTTCTACAAGGAAAGGTCATAATTTCAGAGCCCAGGAACAGCAAAATATGAGAATGAGAATTGTTTAAAATAGTTGCAGAAGATCATAAAAGTATAGAAACATGCTGAAATTAGGTAATCATATTTTATTAACTATTATAATTTAAAAATTGAGTTTAACTTCTGACTTAAAAAGACAGTTCCCCGTACTGGTTTCCAGGGTACCACTGAAGGGTGAAAAAAAGAATGTGCCCACTGCCTTCCTTATAAGCATGTCTTAAGAGTCAATAAGAGGTTTCCTTTGAAGTAAGAGTGCATCTACCTAAGAGGCAAGGAACCAACAGTCTGTATATAAATAAGCCAGATCTGTGAAATGGATGAGCAGGCAAAACTCAAGTTTTGGAACAACATGAATCTACAACTAAATCTTTCCGTCTGAGTCTACAGCTGGTAAATATGAAGAAGAAAAGACAGTGAACAACTTATTGTATATCATATATGAGCATTAGAACCATTTAATAAAACAGCATATCTTACATAAAAACAACAATCTAAAACAGCAGCTGAGTGTGTGTACTTGAAGCGCATGCTATCTGCAACAACATCGTAGAGACGGACACTCTCGTCCCAAGACGAGACAAGAAGAAACTGGCTGGAATTTGGTCCAAACTTCACAGAACTGATGCCATCTGATGGCATGTTGCTGAGTTTGAATTCATTTGGAGACTCTGCCATATTATGCAAATCTTCAAACAGGTCCTAAAACAATCTGGAAAAAAAATATCTATGCATTAAAGTGGTGTTTAATTTAACTCATTTATTATCAAGTAAATCACCACATTCAAATATAGAAATACTGTCCATCCAAGATCCCGAATTCATATGATACAAGAAGGTATGTCATCATATAAAACTTCTTCAGTAAGGTAAGTCCGTACTTTGTCTCTATTACTCTAAATAAATTTTTTGTTTACTAGACAATTAATTTACCTTACCCACAAACAATTAATATAGTTATTTGCAACTTTATCAATGACATAGCGAGTTAAATGTGGTACTGCTGAATTTTGTTTCATTAGTTCTATTAAAGAGTATATCATAAATTTTAAACAATTAGATAAGTTAAAGAATTTTCATTTCGATATATTAGTTATTTTGTCATTACGATTTAAAGTCATCTTATATTTTACAAGATCCTTCAAAATAAAAATTTAAAAAACCACAAGGAAAATACAAACTTTATAAACATTAAAGAAGCATCATTTTACAGGACATATAATTATGATAAGATCTGGTAACAAGTTCAACTGTTCAAGGTAAAACAGATGTTAAATATTATTTAGGATTTTTTATTTTTATATGGGCTAAATACCTGGCAATAAAAGAGGCATAAAAAGAAAACAAGTAGTGCGGTGAGAGCGAATAACTGTAAAGTAAAAACTCAAACAATAAATAATAAAAAAGCTGGGCAGTGAATCATCATCATCATATAGCAGGTCCTTTGCAGAACATCGCTCTCATGCCAGTTTTCCCGCCTCATGAACTTTCACACTGAAGGATTCACTTATATCCTGTGCCCATCTTCGTGCGGTCGGCCCCTGGCCCTCCTTCCTGGTACCATGCCTTCTGCTATAATTTTTTTCCAATCTGTCGTGGTGCTTGATATGACCAAAATATTTCAGCTTTCTAGAAAGGATGCTGTTTATTAGCCAATCTTCCTTGATGTTCAGATGGGCAGTAAATAGTAAATATAAATTAATAACTATATATAATAAGTTAAATTAGCACCAACTTCATAAAATTAAATAAAACATGAAAGATTATGGCTCTCCTTGCAGTACCGGACGAGGGCTGGATACGGGCTGGACGGCTTAGTTCAGTTTAGTGAGAGTTCTTTCCCTTGGCCGCACTGGAAACAGTGAGCGGAAAAGTCCACGAAACAAACAACATCAACATGGCAGTTAGACGTACTCACATAACCAACAACGTTCTTGCGACGCACGACTTAGTTGCCACGGACATAACTCCCGCAGATCTGTATGCCCTAATGACAGATAAGTATGCGTGGTTGCAGTGGCTAGCTGAGCATAGTCTGATAAGGAACATGCAACTGTGTACCTCGTGCGCACGGCCAATGTCCCTATGTCCCCGGCAGGACTGTAGCGACAGATACGGTTGGCGGTGTTATCAATGTAATACTAGGTGTAGTGTTCGCACCGGATCGTTTTTCGCCAACTGCGAAAGGCCGACGAGAAAATAGTCATGATGATGTATTACTGGCTCTCCGGCGTAAGTTCAACGACTGTCATGGTCTTCGGGAGACTCATGGCCTGGTCCACCATTGTCAACTACACCAATTATTTCCGGCAGGAATGCTATAATTGGATGTTGAGACACACCGTGGAGCTGGGAGGACTCGTGGTTGAAGTAGACGAGAGCTACTTTTTCCGACGAAAGTATCAGCGCGGTCGCACCCGTCACGGTCGTTGGGCTTGTGCGAAGACGAGATGCGGCGACATTGGAGAGGATCATAACAGATCAAGTCCTGCCGGGAACGACCATCGTGACTGACACTTGGCGAGGCTACAGCAACGTCGCAAACTTAAGGCATGGCATCTATCTGCACGAGGCAGTAGTCCACCAGACCAACTCCGTCGACGTTGCGCACAGTCACATACACACACAAACAATCGAAGGCCTGTGGATGCTAGTCAAACGCACAATTCGCCAACGATTGGGCACCAGCCGCGCGCTATTGGCGTCATATTTGGCAGAATTTCAGTGGCGCCACTCCCACAAACATCAGATTGTCGGCCAGTATTTGGACCTCCTACGTCAACATTTTCACATCTAACCCTACCCCTAAACCCTACACGCAACCATATGATGACTATGCAACCCTACACGCATCCGTACACAACCCTACACGCAACCGTATGATGATAGGTAAGTGTGTCATTTCTTTCGTGGACTTTTCCGCTCATTGTTTCCAATGCGGCCAAGGGAAAGAACTCGGCACTCTTCCGAATACCGGCCCCATATTATTCAAAGACAAAAAATCCCATTCAGGGCCTCAAGAGGTCGTTGTTAGGGACCTAAGAGGTCATGTTGTTAAAAATATGGAACAGGAAATGCCTTCTTTTATTATATAAGTTCGTTTGAACGAAATTACCAAGTCTTCGCTAGTATAGTTGATATGCAGTATTCTTGTTACGCCGGTGATCAGGTTGATCGGGGTTCGATTCTCCGGCGGGCCAAAAGAAAAAAAAAATATTTTTCTATTTTTTTCTTCAAAAGGCTGCGATATCTGCGCCTTTACTCGGTCTTGTGGTTAACAGCTAGGTTGCGATAGCATTTTTTTTTTCACTTTTAAAAGGGTGGTTTAGACGTTGTTTTGTAGTTACAACAGTTTATAAGCAGTTAAAAGGGTGGTTTGCACGTTGTGTTGTGGTTACAACTAGGCTGCGATATAGGCTGCGATTGCGCCTTTCGCTCGGTCTTGTAGTTAACAGCTAGGCTGCGATAGCTCTCCGGCGGGCCAAAAGAGAAAAAAAAAATTTCTATTTTTTTCTTCAAAAGGGTGCGATATCTGCGCCTTTACTCGGTCTTGTGGTTAACAGCTAGGTTGCGATAGCGGCGGCAAATTTTTTTTTACTTTTAAAAGGGTGGTTTAGACGTTGTTTTGTAGTATTGCACGTTGTGTTGTGGTTAACAACTAGGCTGCGATATCTGCGCCTTTACTCGGTCTTGTGGTTAACAGCTAGGTTGCGATAGCGACGGCAAATTTTTTTTCACTTTTAAATGGGTGGTTTAGAAGTTGTTTTGTAGTTACAACAGTTGATAAGCAGTTAAAAGGGTGGTTTGCACGTTGTGTTGTGGTTACAACTAGGCTGCGATATAGGCTGCGATTGCGCCTTTCGCTCGGTCTTGTAGTTAACAGCTAGGCTGCGATAGCTCTCCGGCGGGCCAAAAGAAAAAAAAATTTTCTATTTTTTTCTTCAAAAGGGTGCGATATCTGCGCCTTTACTCGGTCTTGTGGTTAACAGCTAGGTTGCGATAGCGGCGGCAAATTTTTTTTTACTTTTGAAAGGGTGGTTTAGACGTTGTTTTGTAGTATTGCACGTTGTGTTGTGGTTAACAACTAGGCTGCGATATCTGCGCCTTTACTCGGTCTTGTGGTTAACAGCTAGGTTGCGATAGCGACGGCAAATTTTTTTTCACTTTTAAAAGGGTGGTTTAGAAGTTGTTTTGTAGTTACAACAGTTGATAAGCAGTTAAAAGGGTGGTTTGCACGTTGTGTTGTGGTTACAACTAGGCTGCGATTGCGCCTTTCGCTCGGTCTTGTAGTTAACAGCTAGGCTGCGATAGCGGCGGCGAAATGCTCAATGGTCATGTCACGGGCAGCTAATCTCCTTTTTTTTTTTTTTTGTTCGCCCTTGAAATGGCGGTTGGCATAGTGTATTGTGGTTTACAAATACGCTGCTATATCTGCGCCTTTCGTGCTAGGTTGCGATATCTGCGCCTTTCGCCCCAACACATCTGATTTCAGCAGTCCTAATTAGTTGCCTTTTACAACATTCTCTTCAGCCGCACTTGTGATTACGAGTATGTTGTAACATCACTAGACATCACTAGGTAGATTACGTGTATCACATTAATGTGCGAAATTCGCTTGCTTAGACAACTGGACCCGCTATCCTGTTTAAACTCTGGACATCAAAGTTGTCGACTGGTCTGAGAATGCCCGTTACGTCTCAACTCTAACCCGTGGTAATTAGCCACCTGCCCGTCCGCAAGTTCGGGTCTTTTGTCCGTTCGACTGGAAGATTGCATAATTTTTCAACGTAGATGCGTTCCCTGGTCCAGCTGTTAAGCTAACGTTAAATTCCACTGAGATAAATTGTTGGTTGGTCAGACACTTTGATCGCCGCTAGGAAGATCGCTTGGGTTTGCTGTTCAGTCACCTCATTGTTTCACTTTGTAAAGGTTTCTGTTGGACTTGTGTACTTTTGTTGTTGTTGCGTTTAGAAGGAATTCTGGACTCACCGAATGCACCTCGTCACAGCTCTTTGCGAATTTGTGCACTTGCGTAGATAATTAATTGCTTATCGGCAAAAGTTGCGAATAAAGTGGAAATATTTCTTTGATAATTTGTGCAGCTACTTTTAATTATGGCAGGCAGACCATCGGCTCCAAAACAGATAAGCAATAATATTCTTCAAGTTGATCAACTGGCAGCTGTAGATGTCAGACATGATGATTTATATAGAATAATGGACGATAAACTACAGTGGTTGCAATGGCTCGCTATGCACAGAATAATACGGAACTCAGTAGACTGTTCGTCTTGCAACCGTCGGATGTCATTAGTGTCAAGGCTAGAATGTTCCGATAGATTCTCTTGGCGATGTCGTCGCTGTAATACTCGTTGCAGTGTACGGACGGGTTCGTTCTTCGCTAATTGTGAACTCCCAACTGAAAGAATTGTGATGGTAATGTTTTACTGGTTGTTCGAAGTCAAGCAAAAAAATGTGATGTTTTTTGAGAGATTGACAAGCTGTGATACAGTAGTCAACTATAACAATTATTTTCGGGTAGAGTGTTACAACTGGCTGCTGCTTAGCAACCCTCAGTTGGGAGGATTTGATGCTAACGGACAGTCAGTGGTTGTTGAAGTTGACGAAAGCTATTTTTTCCACCGCAAGTACCATCGTGGTTACTTTCGTCGTGGTCAA